TAGACAAGTCGACTGTAGATGACTATTGTAGCCAGCATTGCCTGTTGGAGTATAGGGAAACACTTTTATATTTGTTTGTGCTCTCCAGTTTCTCAAAAAAATGGTATGGTATGGTGTACATTGCAGTATATTTGCAATTTTGTTGCAGATTGCTACTTTTTTTGTTGCTCTTCTTAACAAACCTTTTCATCATGTCCTGTTGTCTGGCAGGGCAAGGTTTGGTTCATTAACCACCTGGTGACTTCAGGGTAAAACCCCATGAAAATGTCTAGTCTGTCAATGTCAGATTTTACAAAAGGGTAGAGACAGATGAATGTGACAATTTGAATCTTGCTTTGTTCAAGCAACCAGAAATAAGGATGATGACACCCAACTGTTGCCACATTCATTAACCACCTCCCGCCCGCCATATAGTAATATGACGGACGCAAGGTGGTTCTTTCGTTCTGGAAGGACGTCATATGACGTCCTCCCATTCTGACCGCGCATATGCGACTCAGGGAGCGCGCAGCATGGCGATCGGCGGTGCGCTGTGTCCCTCGGACACAGCGGATCACCGATCACGGAAAGAGCCGAAGATGTCAGCTCGGTCATCTGATCAGCTGTCTCCAATCATAGCTGATCACATGTAAACAGGGAAATGCCAGTTATCGGCATTTCTCTCCTCTTGAGCTGTCACACTGACAGCTCGAGAGGAGAGCCGTTAATCGGCTTTCCGCGGAGGGGACATGTACACTGATCATCAGGGCACTGATGATCAGTGTAGCCCCAGCAGCGCCACCTGTCAGTGTCCATCAGTGCCTTGTGTCAGTACTAATCAGTGCCTCGTGCCAGTGCCCATCAGTGCCACATCAATGCCACATATCAGTGCCCATCTGAGCTGCCTTTCAGTGTCCCCACCAGTGCCAGTCAGTGCCACCTATCAATGCCAATCAGTGGCACCTATCAGTGCTGCCAATCAGTGCCAGTCAGTGCCGCCTATCAGTGTGCATCAGTGCCAGTCATTGCCACCTATCAGTGTGCATCAGTGCTGCCTATCAGTGCCTGTCAGTGCCGCCTATCAGTGCCAGTCAGTGCCGCCTAACAGTGCCAATCAGTGCTGCCTATCAGTGCCACCTATCAGTGCCATATATCAGTGCCATGGCTCTAGCGACCATTCTTCCTGGCTTCTGACCCCGGCTTTGGCTACAATTCCCGCTGGTTCTCGACTTGATTATCCTGAAAGACGACCTCGGCAGGAGAACTTCTGTCCTACCAAAGTCATCAGCTGTTGCTGTCAGACTTGCATACACTCGTGCCTTGTTTTTGTGTAAATAAACCTACCTTTAATTGCACCTCCTTGTGTGTCTGGCTCCTTGCTCCCTGACAGCCTCTCCCTTTGATTTTCAGCTTCCTGCTGAAGCTGTGGCAGGGGAAGGTGATAGTTCTGGTGGTGATCCCAGATTGGTTGAAGGGGCCTTGATACCCTCTGCCCCTCCTGTGACGTATGTGGTGCCCAACTCCTGCCCTGCGTTGTTTACAATGTTGCTCTCCTCCCTGTCAGTTTGGGCACACTGCTCGGGATGGCTGAGCACAGCCGTCCCGATCAGTGTGCTTACAGGGAAGCACACACCCCCGCCCCCTAGTAAAACACTCCCCTCACACAGTTAACCCTTTGATTGCTTCTCATCATTAACCCCTTCCTCCCCAGTGCCATTAGTACAGTGTCAGTGCTTTTTTTTAGCACTTGCCACTGTATTGGTGTTACTGGGGATGTCAGTGACCCCAAGTCAGTTCTCCCCCAGTGTCAGAATGTTGGAAAAAAAAAACGGACAATTTTGTCCTTCAGCCGATTTTCGCAGCAATAATGGACAAATTGGCCGATCTTTTTACCGATTTTAAAAAATGTGCATGCACAGTGACCGGCAAGAAGAAGGAAAAGAAGAAAAAGAAGAAATAGAATATGAATAAGAGAAAGAAAAAGAAGAAATAGAATATGAATAATAAGAAGAAAAAGAATATGAATAAGAAGACAAAAAAAAAAAGAATTTCAGTCCGATATTATATTTGACATTTAAAAGTATAGCAACATTGTATCTATTTGTATCAGAATAGAAACATCTGTATCTGAAATGGACACAAATAGATACAATGCTGCAACTTTTTCTTCTATTTCTTCTTTAGTTCTTATTCATATTCTATTTCTTCCTCTTATTCATATTCTATTCCTTCTTTTTCTTCTTATTATTCATATTCTATTTCCTCTTCTTATTCTATTTCTTCTTTTTCCTTCTTCTTATTCATATTCTATTTATTCTTTTTCTTACTCATATTCTATTTCTTCTGTCAAATATAATAGGGGAGCTCTCTGCAGGGACACCACTATTATATTTGCCGGCTGTAGACGGGACGAAAATCAGCCAACTTTTTTTTACCAATGGTGGTAACGTCAGCCGACTGAACGACCAATTTTTCGTTTTTCTAAAAAAAAACAGCCGGTTTTCTCCCCGTCTATGGCCTGCATAAGAGTTCTTGGGTGCTCTGTCAAAGTTGAGGATACTCTTATGAAAGCAAAGAAGAACCGCACTAACAATGCCTATAGTAAAATGGTATAAATTCACAGGATTGCTTGCTGACCAAGGTTTAACACTGGGCTCTTCACATGTCTGTCACAGTCTGAAGTTTCTGTAGGCGGGGTTTGATTTAGGTTTATGCATAAGTACACTATGGGACTGCATTTCAGTTATCTCTGCCTTCACCGGCATACCGTGGGAATCCAACACTTAATTATACTATTCTTAAAGCTGCAAATCGGTTGCAACCTACCTAAGGGATTGTTGTTTGTGAAGTGGGATCTCCCATTGGTGTTGGACTTGTTTGCATCAGATGCCTTCAATCAAAGTGGTCCCCTGTGGTACCTCTCGCTGAAAACTGCTTTCCTGGTAGCAACTGCATCAAGCAGAAGTCACTCCCGTGCATGCATGTAGGAGTCACTTTTTACGGGACACAGCTCTGAAGGAATGGCACAGGCCTGTTCCTTCGAAGCACATGCACTGATGCTACTTTAAAAGTAAACATATACTAAACGGTGCACATTTAGGAGATATTTACAGTCAAGGTCATCCCGTGCCCAGGGCAAAAATGGCAAATCCCCCCCCTTCCGAAAGAGTCGGAAGTGTTGTTTCAGTATAAGTAGGGGGCTGGCCATTCAGCGAGTCATCAGGATGTGTGCCAGCTGAATCTGGAACAGTCGGAAGCCCACCATTGACATCACAGTAAAACATGGCAGCGTGGGACAAAGAGGCTGGATCAGCTGGGTGGGTGGGTATCTAACACAACATCAGATAAGCAGGAGTTGTTAAAAAAATAATTAACAATGCTATTAGTATTTGACATGAAGGGGTTAATGTAGTGCATCTGAATGATGTCACATCATCATCAGAGATCATCTGTTGGGCGGAGATCACTCCGCCTGACAGGGAAATTGATGTGCCGCTGCAGGGGCGCAGTCGGGAACAAAGCTTTAGCTCTGATTGCAAGAATGTACTATAGCGGCGGTGATCACACAGGTCCACATTGAACAAATACTTTAGCAGCACCATGAATCAGCTTCACCTGCATGCCCCTCCCCAAACACCAGAAAGTTGCTGCGTCCAGGGCTTCAGCCCCTTACACCCCCCCCCCTCTCCCCGGCCCTGTGTACAGTACCTATAGATACAAGTGAAAAAATGATTACTACCACTTTAGCCTGGGTTCACACGAAATTAGCACCGATTTCTGAGCATCATAATTGCACCCGTTCATGTGAACCCCTGAAATCGGTTCACAAAATACGATGTGATGTGCAGAATCAGATCGCATGGGTGTGAATACCCATGTGATCTGATTCTAGGATCAAGAAAAAAAGGGTCCTGTACTTTTTTGGTGCAAATCTAGTGTGATTTGAGCCATACAAGATGTATGGCTCCAATCGCACCGCACAGAATTCACGTGATTTGCACAGGAATGCGGTGCGGTTCCTGTGCGAATCACATGCAATATTCTGGACTGAAGTGTGAACCCAGACTTAACCTGGATTCACATATATGCGGTGCGGTATATCGCATGTGATTCGTACAAGAACTGCACCGCATTCCTGTGAAAATCACATGCGATTTGTGCGTGGTACGATTGGAGCCATACATTTGGTATGGCTGTAATCGCACCGCACTTGCACCAAAAACGTACAGGACCCTTTTTTTGTTCCGCAGTAGAATAATATCACATGGGTATTCACACCTATGCGACCCGATTCTGCACATCGCACCGCGTTTTGCGGACCGCTTTCAGGGTGATGTTAACTCAACATACACACCCGCAGAGGTTCGCATAAACGGGATGCAATTCTGATGCGGTGTGAAATTCGCTGTATCAGTGTGAACCCAGGCTTAATGTCATTTTTTTTCAGGTTGTCAGTAAAAAAGAGTGCTCCGTCAGTAAATTTTCCATGTTTTGTCAGGAGAAAATGCTACTAGAGATTGGCACATTCCCATTATAAGAGATTGATCGGAAAACAAATGATTTATTGCAGCATTTCTGGCCACCATTATCACTTGAACTCTACGTCCTGACTACACAGAGGCTGGTGACTTCTCTGACACATGTGGTGCAGTCAGGCTCATCTCCCACAGTACTCTGGGAACTTCCAGTTTTCCGTGAAACGAAACCAGCGATGTCACCGCACTGCCCAGAGAAAGCACCGAAAAGCTCGCCCCTCGCTGGCCTGACCACTCCCTCAGGGCGGCCCGCCCACCCGCCTGCCAGTGTCTCGGCACATCACGTGGTGTATCGGTGACGTAGAAGGAAGAAGCCGCCATTAGAGGGAGGTGTATAGGCTACCACAGAGACCTTGGTCTGTCAGAGAGCCGCCGATCAGCTGAGCGCCGTGCCAGCCGTCTGAGAGAACAGGGACGCTTCCCGGGACTGAGCGTAGGCCTGCGCTGTAGCCTGGGCTCCGTGTTACCCTACTTGAGTCGGCGCCCATGGCGGCTGGAGGAGGAGGAGGCGGAGCCGGGGGCAGTAAGACGTACTCGTTCAAGGTGGTGCTGCTCGGGGAGGGCTGTGTGGGCAAGACGTCTCTGGTGCTGAGATACTGCGAGAACAAGTTCAACGACAAACACATCACCACCCTGCAGGTGACACAGCTGTGTGTGTCTGTCCCGGGGCCTCCTCTGTGTGTGTGTCATTGTGTACACCTCCCAGGTCGTCACCAGTACACCTCCTCCACCAGCCCGGGTGACTTGTTGCTGCTGTGTGTGTGTGTGTCCCAGGGCCTCCTCTGTGTGTGTGTCATTGTGTACACCTCCCAGGTCCTCTCCTGTAGTCACCAGTACACCTCCTCCACCAGCCCGGGTGACTTGTTGCTGTGTGTGTCCGTCCCAGGGCCTCCTCTGTGTGTGTGTGTCATTGTGTGTACGCCTCCCAGGTCGTCACCAGTACACCTCCTCCACCAGCCCGGGTGACTTGTTGCTGCTGTGTGTGTGTGTCCCAGGGCCTCCTCTGTGTGTGTGTGTCATTGTGTACACCTCCCAAGTCCTCTCCTGTAGTCACCAGTACACCTCCTCCACCAGCCCCGGTGACTTGTTGCTGTGTGTGTGTCCGTCCCAGGGCCTCCTCTATGTGTGTGTCATTGTGTACACCTCCCAGGTCGTCACCTGTAGTCACCAGTACACCTCCTCCACCAGCCCGGGTGACTTGTTGCTGCTGTGTGTGTGTCCCAGGGCCTCCTCTGTGTGTGTGTGTCATTGTGTACACCTCCCAGGTCCTCTCCTGTAGTCACCAGTACACCTCCTCCACCAGCCCGGGTGACTTGTTGCTGCTGTGTGTGTGCAAACTTGTGTTGTCTAACCTGCAGCTCCATGGCAGTAAACATTAGTTGAAATCACAGTGTCTTGCACTGTCCTTTCAACATTGGGATCACTTTTAGGACTAGTTCCGATCAGCGGTGGCTCACTTTTCAAATGGTGTAATGATGATGTATTGCATGCAGCTGCAGATGGGTTGCGGCACAGCCCCATTCCTTTGACCAGGAGTTAGAATTCTGGCCAGGAAGCAAAGTGTTTGTGGCCAGAGCAACCCTGGCATCACCATTAAAAGTTCTTATTGCCTAGGTGGCGAGAAGGATCAGCAACCATGTGACCACTGTGATTGGTGGTCACGTGATTAGAAGTCAGTCCGGCAGGCTGCTGGCAGTTTCTCAGGACCAACAGTTGTTTTTGTCAGCTCGGGCTTTGTGCTTGGAGCATTCAGAAAGTGTACTCCCCGGACTAAGGCTAGTTTAACATAGATGCAGTTCATTGCACTCTTTTCTGCATCAAAAATGCATGCACAGTGTTTTCTGTGTATTCCAATGGCCCTAGTTCACACTAGTGCAGTCAGTTTCTGGTACAGGAAAAAAAAGTAGAACATGCTGCATTTTTTTCTGCACAGAACCATATTGGAACATAGCAAACGGCTTTAAAACTGCACAGGAACTGCACGTGGTGTGAACTATAAGCAAAAACATAACCGGAGTGCGGTTATTTTTTTTTTTTTTTTTTTTGTAGTGTGAACTGTCCCTTGAACATTGCCCACCCAGTAATGTATATGTGCAGAGTGTGGGTGTTAAAGCCTAGCTTTGTCCCACTGCACATATAGATTACTGAGGCATAAAGGTTGTAATGAGGATGGCAAAAAAGGCAGCTTAATCACCTGTTTTTACCAATCACAAGTGTAAACCTAGCCTTAAAGAATTTGTAAACCCAACGTTTCCTGTTCCTTATATGTGCTTTCTGTACTAATTACTTGTATGAAAAAGTATCCTTTGTTTGAAATCTCTGGTGTTCCTTCAAGTCCCTCTGGTTTTTCTATTAAAAACTGACCACACTAGCCAGGAGAACACAGCGTGGTCAATTCTCTAGCTGTACTGGGAACTCCACCTGCTCTCCAGTGATCTGACAATGCCCCAAACACCCTCCCCTTCCGGTACAGTCATTCACTGGGAAGACTGGTGTGCTGCTGTTTCTCCTCCACAGCTCTTATGCCACTGAAAACAGAGGGAATGTGATCCCTCCTCATAAAGGGGAAATTTTATTTTTGTGTGTGTATATGTATGCATATAAGCTTAACAAATTGGAACGAGCGCAACTTGATATGACAACTTAATATATGTTAGGCGGAAACTAGTAGACAGATGCTAGCATAAAGGTATACCTCGACACCTCAGTAATGAAATAAAAGTCTTAATAATGCAGCGCTTAAAATTAACGTTGTGGCAATAACCATAAAGAACAAAAAAGTCAAATATGTTCATAAAGAGTGTTCATATGTGGTACAAATAAGTCCGCAAAGCAGAAGGTATTCCAATACGATAGAGATCAAATGGTGCAATATACTCCTGGACGCTTCGTGAAGAGAGAGTACGTACAAACTGAACATTGTATGTAAATAATCCGTGAAGACGTCAAGGTCTGGTCACTGGTGTGGCGTCATCTAGGGCTGTAGCAGACTCCCAGGAATGTCACTCACGCTTGGGGGTCACCTCAGACTCACCAGAGGGTCCAACGCCGTCCAGACTCCTGAAACTGCTCCAAAGGGGACCCCTTTGATAACTTGCAATTCGCACGAAACATGTCAGGGGAATCCCTCAATTTGTCGCTATTTTTTCTGATCGATTGCTTTTCATGGGGATATACCTGTAAGCCATTGCTGTGTCACATGTGAGTGTCCTGCAGTTCATTGATGATAAACGATACTACACTATTAGCACTATTTTGCCTCCCGGGCTCGTTATATTTCGAGCCATCTAAGGTGGAGCGGTTTCAGGAGTCTGGACGGCGTTGGACCCTCTGGTGAGTCTGAGGTGACCCCCAAGCGTGAATGACATCATTCCTGGGAGTCCGCTACAGCCCTAGATGACGCCATACCAGTGACCAGACCTTGACGTCTTCACGGATTATTTACATACAACGCTCAGTTTGTATGTACTTCTGGTAAGTGCATTATTGTACTATCTCTTCACGAAGCGTCCAGGAGTATATTGCACCATTTGATCTCTATCGTATTGGAATACCTTCTGCTTTGCGGACTTATTTGTACCACATATGAACACTCTTTATGAACATGTATGTGTATATATTAAACAGAATGGGTTGTCTGCTTATAAGGTGAAGATTTCCATATACTTTAAATTGGCAATAAACCAGGCTTTTTTCCCCTCTGTTTTCACCCAGTGATTTAGCTAGTAACACACTACCTGTATTCAAGTGCCTGCATAGAAGGAGCACAGGGGGCACAGCAGACAACAGCATTTTCAGTATGTAGGGAGGGGAGTGTTAGATGGACAATCAGATTTAGATACACTAACATGGGTATACATGGGTCAGTTGTTTTGCTTGGGGGGTGGGGTTTAATCAGCCAGTGGAATGATAAAATAACTGAATGGATTGGGGGGAATTCATGCCCTTTGTTTTATCATTCCACTGGCTGATTTAAAAAAAAAAAAAGCAAGCAAGGTAGACCGAGGAATCTCTCTGCTGTGTTGTATTCTGACAGCTAGGACTCCTCTGCTATCAGAATACACTAATCCTCACTGATCAAAGGAAAATTTTCCAACAAGCTGTTACAAGAAAAGTTGATCATTAGGTTGACTTCACTGCAACAGCCATAGGTGGATCAAAATTTGGATGGTCCTTGCTGAACCAGACGGATTTCAATTAATCTATGGCCAGCTTAACCAATTGCCCTCCAGAGGATTTACCCCCCTTTCCTAACCAGCCCATTTTTTTTTTTTTTTCATTTTGGGGTGCTGCGTTAGGGCGGTAGGGAAGCTGTTAACAAATTGAAGCTAAACTCCAGCAAATACCTGATGAGCAGTTACAGGGACAGGATTTGATTTGTTTTTTTTTCTCTCGGGATAAAGGTTTTACATAAAGCTGAACATTGTAAGCACCCCAGTCGGTGGTTAATGATTTGTCTCCACCCTCTAATTGCTACATCTGCAGAACAGCTTGATCTGTTGTAAAACAGACTAACTGGCTGAGTCACCAGATAAAAATAAAGGAAAGAAAGCCGGAAAAAAATGGATGCATCCATCACATCTAAGCATTGGTAAACTGCAATATAATAAGTGTTTGCTTTGGGTATAAGGTCCATTCACACCAGATATGCGTTGATTAGCATGTGATCTCATAGCAGCAAATAAACACTTTTAAATTCATTGTATGTTAAAGGGAGCAGTTCACGGCAGTGTGTTTCGTTGATGTGCACTGGAAAAAAATAGCACAAGCCCTACTTTTTGTTTTTTGCAGACTTTAATGCATGTAAGCAAAATGCGCACAAATGCAGTGAGTGCGCATTTCCAAGAACTGCCCCGCACACATGTGGTAACTGCTGTGCCATAGTCCCTTGACAACTTCCTGGAAGTAAGGCGAAAAGCTTCTTCTAGGAGACAAGGTGCGGTGCATATTAAAACCACATCACAGGTATGTTTACCTGCATTCAAAGCATGCATTTAGTGTGAATGGACCAATGGGGCTCATGCACACCATGTTAGTTAATCTGCTCAACTCAATGCAGCCTCATCAACAGGGCACATAAAAAATTATAGTTTTTTGTGTATCCTATTCACACCATACATGAGCAGTGGTGTGTACTGCATTAAAAAAAAAAAAGGCAGCAGTGCATAGAATTGAATTAAGTGTCATTTTGTGACATTGTTGATAAAGTTAAAAGTGATGTAAACCGTGCTTCACATTGTAACATATTCCACTGCCCCTACACAGCAGACACTAGCCCGCATTTAGTTTTGGGGCTCATCCTGTATACTGTCAAGTAGTTGTACCTGCACCCAGAAGTTGCTGGCGTCTATCAGTCACAGCCAGCAGCCTGTACAAATCCATGACCGATGCCACGGCTACATGCATGTAATGGCACATTCATGTGGTTGCATGCATACATGGATGAATGAGTGGCCCTGGATGCAAATTATCTGCATCCGGGGCCACTTATCTGTCACTTACACCATGTAACTACTCAATTTGCGCTTACACGCATACAGCCACGGTATCTGTCAGGCTTTCATTGAATTGTGCAGACTGCTGGTCACAGCTGATCGCACCCACCTGGGATCCCCACTGCAAAAATACTCTAATGCTTG